TCCATCTGTGACATTTCACCTTTGCTTTAACAGGAAGTGGTCAAAGCGATCCAGGAGGCACAAGGAGTGAAGCATCTGGTTTCCATGACGACAAGCGAACACGCTGCCATGCAGAATGAGGCTCTGAATGCCTTGGCAATAGCATCTGCAATCGATCTAGGTATTTTTCGCCTAAAAGCATTTATCTGTGCAAGATCCTCATTAAGAAACATTGTCATGGTGTTAATCCTACATAACATGTAAGGAAAAGCATGTTTCTTATCTAGATTTAGCTCTGCAGCACTAAATAAATGAGGTCAGCCATCCAGAAGATCACAAAAGCAATAGGCTTCAGGAATTGCCTCAAGATTTTTTTCTTTAGGGTAGCACCAAGTGATCAGGGGGTATGGACAGGCACAATTTCTTGAGTAACATTGTATGATGCTAGAAACCTCCAGAAAAAAAACCAAAAGGCAAGTAAAGATGATGAAGACTAGAGGAAAAAGATGATAAAGTCTAAACAAACACAAAATAAGGGACAATTCACAGACTTGAACGGTCAATGAAGTCAATAAACAGAGGAAGTAGTCTACAGAAGAGAGACATTTGAATGCAGGAAAGAATAAAGCAGAATCATAGACAAAAGGGCCTTGTAGAAACTGCAAATGAAACAAGCAAGAAGACTATAAAGGCTCTAACTACTTTTAGTGATCCAGTTTTCACAGAGATTGTGTGTATTTTTTTTAAGACTTTTCCTGTATGACTGATTGCATTTGAAAATGGGCCTCAATTTATCACAATAAAGACAGTCACCACAAATCTACACACATCAAAAGATAAATTGAAAAGAAATAGTTGACTTGAAATTTGGAATTTCCTATACCAACAAAGCAAGACAATAAAGAGCCATGTTATTCCTTGGTCCACCATTCAGGCTCTCAAATTCAATAGGGCAACCAATGTGAATCAATATTTCTAGCACTGATCACTGCAAATTTTAATCTATTATGAGGTTATTGTATACAATCTATAGTATATGGGTTGTTTTCCAGAATGAGGCCAGTGAAGAAACACTGTACAGAATACAGAAATTCTCCAGTAAAGAGAACAGATGCCCAAAACATCCCTTTACAGCCAATTTGAAATGAAGCCAGTCAGGAATTTTACTTTTAAAAAGCACACACATTAACTTTCTAGCCTTTTTTCAGGTAACAACTCCAGTATTTGTTTACTTATTTTTCAGAAACGCTTGAAGAATCTTTTAAGGAATCACAGCTAGTTCAAAGCTTACACAAACTTCTGCAAGATGATAATACAAGTCCTGAGGTGAAATATAATTCAATGGGTCTTTTGTGCAGTCTTCTTAATTCAGGTAACTTCATTTTAAGTTGTCATTTGCAATGAAAACAAGTGTTTTCTGTTACTGAAGTGTGCTGCTTGCACTGTTGCAGTCAGTGAGTATTAAAGGATATTAAAGAGGTTCATTCTTTATTGATCACCAAAAATCCCAGTCAAGTAGCTTCTTTCTTTATGACAAGCTGATAAAGCCATCAGTTGAATGAAAAAAGAAAGGCTTTATTCCAGTGAGTCAGTGGCATAATCAAGTCCTGAAATAGCAAAATTAGAGCCTTTGAAGAAAGGCATCTTTGTCCAAATTCACCATGCACAAATGTCTGGCAGCCCAATGTCCAGAGTATTTTTGTGCTCGAAGAAATAGAGTCTCTATCATCTTCCACAGGCAGGCATCATTTGTTCTGCCTAGGCTTAAGCAAACCAGAATCTGAGATAAAACAGCAATTTTAGCAATGCTGCCTCTGCACAGCAACTTTTAGTAAAAGACACGAAGGATATAACATCAGTTTCTCTCACTCTGTGGTCAGGGAAGACTTAAAGTGCTTTGAGCAAGATCAGACTCATCCTGGATGTGTAACACAACACTAACCTTGAAAGCAGAAGCCTAAAGATGTCATGCCAGTTTCTCATATCTTAATATATACATCATGTAAATTGAAAGTAATTATTGTGCTCAGACAAGAATCTGCCACAAGGGAAGCTGCCTTTCAAATTCCGGAGCCACCCTACATTAGCAGACAAGCTGAATTTTGCAGTATACTGTTTTTTCCCTGTAGCCACACAGATATTGGAATATAGATAAGCATTTGCATCCTTCAGTGCTACTATGGAGTACTGACACAACAGATGTGACCTATAAGACTTTTTTCCAGAGCTGTATATACTTAGCACTTTATAGACTAACTGTAACACTGGGAGCTGAGTCTTACTAATATGAAAGGCTAACAAAAAGTATACAGGCAAAAAAAGATATGCTGGAACTTGTTCAGTATTACATTTTCACAGTGCTTTTCTTCTGCTTAACCAGTTCTTGGAACTCAAACAGGAGAAAAAAAAAAAAGTCTTAACCTGTTCAATACTTTCTGTGGCTGAAAGTGTACCTATTGAGAGAAGTTTATTTAAATTAAAGAAGCTCATTTTAAACAGCAAGTACTCCCAACTTATCTTACAACAATTGTTGGGAGCCATTATACCATGGCATGTCACTAAAAGTCAGCATTTCATCTCCCATTCAGGTGATCTGAGACAAGAAATAGAAGAGGACAAGATTAAAGAAACCCTCGAACAGCTCTGCAGTCACAGTAATGCAAATGTGGTCAAGGAAGCTGTCACAACATTACAGGTTTTGAGAGGAGAGACACCCCACTAAGTCTCCCTTCTTCCCCGAAGCAATTCTGCACTGCTGCTGAGGCAAACACAATAAAACACCAGCTCTGCCAACCCTCCCTTGCATTTGTTATGCTACCGCATAACCCAACACTACTGAAGTCCAGGTATAGCTCCTATTTTTAAAGCTGTGCATAAAAAAACCCCCAAACTCATTTGCTCATCTATTTGGCCTACAGACATACTCACATCACCACTGCTCTTCACTGAGCTACTAAGGCACAGCAGCAGGAATAAGGCCTGCAAAGGAGGTGGGCTTAGAAAGCATCCCGTGAGAAGCATCAGGCAGTGACCACTTCTGTAATACATTTTTAAGTTGCTTGGTTTTGTAAAAATCAAGATACCACTTGCAACTTTTTCTTATATCAACAGGACTTTATAATCACTACAAAAAAATCTGAAGCTTGTATCATGCAACCTGAAACAACAGTTTTAGGTTAGATGAGAGCTGTAACTTAAACACCACAAAGGGCTAATTAGTACCAATACAACCTCTGCACATTGTGAATCAACCTGTGAGCCCAACTGTTAAATGAACATGTTAAAACCACCACAAAACTGTACCCCTAAGCCAACTCCCCCTTCAACTTCCAATTTAAAGCTCATCTCTGATTTTTTTACCCACTGGTTTCACAACCTATATTCCTAAGTATCTGAGGTCAGTCTTGTCCTAATTTCAGAGTTGCAGGTACTGTAACCTGGAACAAGACTCAGCAGAAAAATTTACATGAAATTGTTATGTCCATACAGTGCTTGGACAAGAAAAAATTAAAACTAGTTAGACATTAAAAGGGGGTGTGTATGAAGATTTGGAGGCAGCTGGCATTTCCTTAAATTATCTCCAGTAAGAGAACTTGGATTTTACTTTAGATAATAAAAAACTGTAGTAAAACAAATGTGTCTCAACTTTTCTACAGAAACATTTCATATTTAAAAATGGTCACAAGATAAAGAAGATAAGAACAGGATCTATTGCTCAACTTGTTCCTATGGGAACTTCTTGAAGCAGTTATATGTCACCGAGTCACATTGCCAAGACCTAGGAGATCAAATTCAAAACCTTGTAGAGGTAGATACCAACGAGTAGGGAACAATGACTTTTTTTAGCCAGTGGTAAAAGTTATTGAGAAAAAAAATAGAGAAGTACTGACGTTTAAAAAATTTGTTATAAAGCAGGGAATATTAAAGTCAACCAGGTGTCGTCTTCTCAAACAATTTGAGTATAACTGGCTTATATTTGTAAACAAACATTGCAACTTTCTTCCTGCAAAAGCTTTCCTGCTTGCAAAAACCTGTTAGCAGCATTTAGCCCACCACATTCGCCACCAAATATCACTTTCAGGAGTACTGTTGAGAAAGGGCATTTCATACAATCACCCAGACAAGTCACTTGGTGAGTAACAAACAAGCAGGTTTTGCCCACGTCATAGGAGAAAAGAAAAACAAGAGCTGAACCATGTGCAGCTTCCTCTAGCTTAAAGCACACCGTGATACAGGCTTCCTACACATTTGCAATGTCAGAATGATAAACATCTTCAGATAATCTAAACTTCAGAATAAGATCTGGGGTTGTACGTACACCAGGCATCAGTATATCAGGATGTATTACAAGTTCTATATGTACACACCAAATAGCCACATTCAAGTTAAGTCATTCTTATCAGAAATGACTTAACATTCTACAGTATCCAATTCCAGATATTGCATGATTCTAATACAACCTTTGTCTACTGGTTAGATGTTTCTTTCACCTTATTAAACCTAAAATCAGGTTTTAATGCATTAACAAAATGTTAAATTGGTCAAAGCAGCAGACACAAACCTATTTCTGCAAGCCTTATCTTCAAACCTGGAAGTTACCTCCCTTCTGCATTTTCGTAGTAGTTTCAGGAACATTGCTTAAACACGACAAACCACAGACTGTGCAAATCCCAAGAGCAATAATGGTGGATGGTGGCAAAGTGCAAACAGCAGTTTTAACTTTTTGGGTGTCTAGAAATTTAATAATTTCTCTACACCATTCTGTAGCTCTTCACTTGTTCACAGCTTTTCATTAACAATGGAGAGAAAAGCACCAGTGTTATTTATTATTCAGCAGCCCGGACCGAGAAAACATAAATAAATCAAGAATTAGTTTCAGAAAAGTATATATATGAACACCAGTGGACTTTTACAATTTCTGTAGTTATCCACAAACTGCAGTCTCAGTAGCCAGTATAAACCTTGGAGAGGGAAATACTAGTGACTAGAAGCAACAAATCTTAGAAATCAAACTCCAAGAATACAAAACATTAAATTTTATTTAATCAAATTTAAGGCTTGAGAAAAAAAAATATATATACTGAAAGTCATTCAGAAAAGCCATCTCAGAAGAAGAGACAAAACCTCCCCTTCCATTGGCTAAACAAGGTACAAGCTGCATGATAACCCACAGGCAGTAGGGGGAAGGAAGAAGAAAGGATGGAACGGGGAGACAAAAAACAAGGCAATTATACATATAAGCCAATTGCCACATCAACCTCAGTGGACCAAAGGTAGAAGTCTATCCACATGGCACTGTATGAAGGTCATCAAAATTAAAGACCCCTTGGGAAGAAATATTCAGGTTTTCAGGAGGCAATCAAAGGTCCTTTGGTCACTGTATTTTTTTCAGTCCTTACATTCATCCTCCTCTTCATGTACAGGTAAACGCAGATATATTAATAGAAACAAAAGGACAGTTGCATTGTCAACCATACTGACAAATAAATACATTGCTTCACAGAAATAAACTGTGCTGGTTTTGAAAAATAAAAATGATCACACTGAAAAGCTTCCTTCTCTCAGTCTAGTTATTCAAGTCTGCTCTCGTATTGGACATCTTCATTAAAAACCTTGTTTCCATTGTAGTGTTTGTGGAGTTGTTCCAAACGCAACCACCGAAATCTCAACATCAACAATTTATCAAACCTCCCCGTGTGAGATCATTGAATTGCTTCTCCTTCAAGGCTTTAGAAGCAGGCTCACACCCAACCGCTTTTGCTGACAAGACTTTTTTAAACCATAACCTAAATCTTTAGCCATGAAGTCACTGCAGTTCACCAGAGAATATGCTAAATATAACTACAGTAGAAAGTGGTAAGAAAGCCTTCCCATTCCAAGTCTGAAATTGCACTATCCGTGTGTACCACCAATGGGGGTGGCACTTCAAAGCATCTAGAGATAGGGCAGCCTAGAGTCCCAGAGTTTTAAAAATGATAATGAATAAGCAGAGGAGTTTGTCCACAGTGAAAACAAATCACTCCATGAATTTAAAGATCCTCAAAAATAGGTTGAACATGCCTCTTGAATTCAGTCCCAAATAACTGGAGCATTTGACACAAAGTCGGTGTTAATACAGCCAAAGCCAATAAGAACAAACTGTGGAAAGACAGCACTTCAATTAAATTCTGTTTTGCATACAAACAGTACTTCAAAAAGAAACCAAGTATTCATTTGTCTTCAGGCGACTTGGCAAGATTTGCAGACGCTGGAATCCTGATCCATGACACTTGCTCTTGTCAGCAGCTCATTTCAGTGCACAAACTCCATAGACATCTTTGACACCGTGACGGTTTTCACCAACTGCCGAAATGATTTCCCAGGATTAGGAGATTTCTGTATCAAAAAGTGGCAAAGGGAAATATACTCCCCTAGACGCAATTTTCAATGCAATGTTTTACAAATCAAAAGTTACAAATAGAAAGAGCCTTCTCCAATTTTACATACATTGGATTATTTCGGATAACCTTAACAGAGTAAATTGGTTGATGAGGTGGTGTAAAGTTTCAAGCACCAGAGTTTAAAGCCAAGGTTGCTGGACACTGCTTTGCTGTTTGCAAAGTAGCAGTAACAGCAGCAAGTTTCTGGCTGCTACTAATGGACTAGATTGAAAATATAAGTAATACAGGCCTCAAAGCCAAGGCTCTACAAAAGAAATGCCTCTTGTGCTCCGGTCAATGGTCTATTGTTGTTGTTTCCTCATTGTACATCAAAGCTAAAAATAAAAAAATAACACATTGCTGAACCTCCAGCTATTTTACTTTCAGGTTTCTCAGATGAGTAACAGCAGACCATTCTCTGCTACTGTAAGGAAACCAGGCATCCTCAGACAAGCTTCCTTTTCCTGTTGTGTCTCAGTCACTGGCCAGAAAAAGAACTATGAAAGCTGAAGTACACAAGAAGTACAGCATTGTCTGTGAAGTGCTTCACAGATTAAAAGCTAGAAGGATGTCTGGGCAATCAATACAGACACAAAGATTCTCACTGTTGATGAGCTTTTGCCAGTGAAATGTTCATTAATACATGAGTAATAGAAAAAAGGACATCAGAGAGCTATTTAAAAGTTTGGCTTCCTAAGAAAGCCATATACTTTGGAAATACAAGTATTAAATCTTTCAGACAGACTACACGTAGTAAAATATCATTATAAAAATATACACTTTTCTAAAATTTACACTATGTTAGGCACTGTAAATAAACCTGCTCTCCCTGAAAAAATTGGTGTCACTGGAAGCAATAAACAATGTTATTTATATGGCCTACAGTAAAACTGACAGCTACAGCTATTTCCAAGAACTTTTTAGTCACATACTTCTATCTTAAAGCTAAAAATACTATGACAAAGTCTTTCAAAGAAGACTGGAACTCTTACTGAATTACATATCCATCCATTGAACCCTCAAGAAGGGAGGACAGGAAAAGGAGAGTTTAGTTTTCTTCCAATAAAAATAAAAATTACTTCAGCGTGAGCAGTTCACTTTGATGCAGAAAATTAGAATGAAGAAATCATTCCAGTTCACCATACTGTGACTGGCATTTGAACCAGGTATCTGAATACAAGCAGAACTAATGATTCAATAGTTTACAGAAGGTTTAAAAATTCAACAACTCTCATCTTTCACTAAATGTGTATTTCCTCATTAAAAAAATGGATTTCAGTAGCGATCAATGCTGAATTCAAATGTTTTTCATCGGTCTTGATATTAGCAGTTAGGATGTGTGAAAATCAATATAACAGTTGTGAGAGGAACTAGAGGAAAGGCAAAAACCATCAACAGCCAGCATAAGTGTGTTTGCTACCTACAGAAACAAGATGCATTTTGAAATTTTTGCAGACAGAACTTTTTAAAGAGATTACTGATCAATAAAAAGCTAAGAATTTAAGAGGTTTTTTTCTTCTATAAATAAAGAATATTTACACTTTTTCAGACAGGAAACAGCACCAGGGATTCACACCCCCTTGACTGAAATGGACATTTCTAACATATAATGCTACAGATAGTCAGATTTTTCCCCTCTTGAGAAAGGGCTTGCATTTTCAAAGTGGCATGGGTTACTCAAGCTCTGATGGTGAGCACAAGTTCCTGCTCCTGAGACATCTACGTTATTCCCAGTCAAACAGAAATACCCCTACTTCTGCACAACTGAAAATCAATTCAAGAACTAGAAAATCTGTGACTTTTTCCAATTTCCAATACCATGAAGATTACAGTTACTGGGTATCTTGCCAAAAAATTAATGGATGAGTCTACTGTACAGATTAAAATGATTTCAAGATTCTGAAGAAATCAACACACCTGAAAAGATTGTATTTTGAATTGATGATAGCTGCAAGTGAAAACAAAGCAATCTTCACTGTAATCTTTCAAGGAAGGATTTTACAGGAGTTTCATGTCTCTGTACAATCTCTGTACAATCTGTTCTGCCAAGATCTTGAGAAATTCCATTTCTTCTTCAGAGATCAATGCTGGTACACTGAGATGTCTCATTAGGAAAAAAGGTTGACAGATGTGCATTCGGAGATATTTTGTACCAGCTTCTAACAAAAAGCATGAGCAGGGTAAAATCCACATAAGGCTTTTAATAACAGGAGTATTTCACGGTCTGTGCATTTCTTCCACATTGGTGTCCAACCAATAACTGAAAAATATACTTCTATATTCAGAAGGCATTACCTGCCTTTACAGCTTCAATATCAGAAATCAATGTCCTGGCTAGGAAAATCCCAAAAATCTAAAAAGACAAAAAAACAAACCATTTGTGAGATGGAACACTCGTAATGTAGCAGTCTACAAGAAGTTTTTAAAAATTAGAGCCTATTACCATTAGTCATTATTGCAGAATGAGAACCTACTTCTTATGTGTTCCTATTACATTGTACTGATGTCGGTGCAGCTACTCTTGTGAATAAAGATATGCATTCATAAAGTGTTTGCAGGTTCAGATATCATTTCATGGCCAGGATGATCCATCAAAGCATGGCTATTACTAAAAAGTAATAAAGGTAGAATCTTACAGGAAATAAAACTCAGGAGAAAAAGATATTGTCATGTAATACTTCAGGAGCATTCAAAATAATAAGCTTCTAGATGCCCTAGAGCTGGAAGAAATCCACTTAGCCAAGTTTACTTGAGTCTTATAACACTCACACTTACCCGTTGCTAAAGTTACAAGTCAGGCATTTTCATTCATTCCACAACTTTGCATAATCCAGTCAATTTTCTGATCAAGTTTTTAAACACATACAGAATGTAAAGTTACCTACACTAAAATGAAAATCTTCTCACACACAGTAGTGAGAAAAGTCCCAGATTATTCTGAAATATTTAAATTTTAAATCTTAACATTCACTCAAGTTCTCGCTTTTTAGACAGGTTATATCTAACTCTCAGTCCCACCATGAAATAGTTGAGTGCACAAAACAGACTTAATTTGAGAACACAAATGACTGTGAGAGTGGTTTCACAGAGACTCAGAACATGAATAAGAACATCATCAAATTATTGTCAATCACCAAACGGCAATTTTTTTTTTTTTTTTTTTAATATCTTCCTAACTGAAGGTGTTGTTCTCAGGACAGCACCTCAAAGCCATGGAAGCACTATCATTAGATGGTAATAAAATATCAAAACCCAAGCAACAGAGGGCAGTATTGCCATGGCTGGGAAAAGGTATTTTGCCAGCACTCTGTGCTCAACTGTTGTCAGTTAAATGGAAAATACATTCTGTAGTAGTATTTACAAGTTTGCTATTTCCCACTGAAGTGAAGCAGTATCATAGCAAAGAAATTTTGGAAGTGTAAACAACTGCCACAACAAAAGCAGGATCCATTATGAAAGAAGTAATCTGATGTGTTTTACTGAGAATTTCCATTCTTTTTCTTTGATGTACCAAGCACCAACACGGTACTGGACAAGTCACTGGAACTCCTTCACCTGGGTCTGCTAATACCACATTTGCGACCTGTTCACCAATCTCCCTCCTCTTCCATTTTCAACTGTTTTTGAGCAGTATGCTATGTCACCTACAGCCAAGCTGAATGGCAATCTTAGCACTAAGGACAGAATTGTACCTTAGTGATTTCACATTTGTGAGAGAAGGCTGTAGTTTAAACCTACTGAGAAGATGACCAGATCTCCACTCCCTCAAGGCATATTGAAACGTAGGAAATACATTATTGTATCACATTATTATACCAAATGATCATGTATTAGCATATTGTTATATTAACATATAACAATATACATCACAATCATTATATACTGTATCTATTACAATTGTATTGTATTTTTATAATGACCTTCATTGCTTTGAGGAACATGATTTCAACAGAATTAAATTAGTTGATAGCGGATATTTTCACTCTGTCCCCCATCCTGATTTTTTTTTATACTATTCTTATAACTAAAAAAATCCAGTGTCAAAATATTTACTGTTCCTCTATCCCCACAATGACTTTTGTCTTCAACAGGTCTGAATCTGCAAACTTGAAACTTTTTTTCAAAGTAGTATAACGAAACCGACTAACCTGGAGCAGTGAAATGGCTATGAAGACACCTGCCACAATGTAGATATTTCGGGGTAACCAAGCTTCAAGAGCAAGGATGCATCCTTTGACAAAAATCTGATTATCCCATTCACTCTTGCTCTGAATGTAGAGAAGAAAGATAAGAATATTACTTTTTTTGCCCAAGTTTATTGTAAGATCAGTCAATCACATGACACAGCTAAACTAATGATTTGTCACCTCTGCAGTAATGTTTTTAACCAGACTCCAGAAATACATATACACCCAGATTAAATCAGGGACTGTCAGACATTGATGTTAGTATCTTCCCGCAAATCCTGCTATTAGAATACTTTAGAATTAGCAGATAATAGCATTCAGAGTTAGACTATTAGAACTAATAACTGAAATGCACATTTGAAACGCAAGTCCTACCCCTTTTTGAAACACACCTTTCCTTTTACCTGTTCCATCACTTGTTTTCTCCACCCTCCCACAGTACAACTTTACTTTAAACAAAGGAAAGCCTCTACTTGTGGTATGATGTAGCACAGTCTATTAGTTCCCAGAACTTTAAGCTGACATATCTATCAGCAATTCCACTATTTTTATTGTTTTGCCTATGCAGGCACAGAACAAGAGAGACAGAAGGGTCCCAGCACCTTACCTTCTTTCTGACATCATAGCCACACTGTGTATTCACAACTTTTTGCTGCAAAGCAAAAGAGATTTAAAATAAATCAATTGAATTCTACTCATTTCTGATGACAGGAAGTTTTTCTGTCTTTTAGATTGACAGACAGAGCAGGACTGTCAGAACCAGACATTTTAAGAAGTATTTTTAGTAAAAACGAGAAAAGCACTAGCAGAACACAAGAAAAGTAATGACAAAGCAGAGGTGTATACTAGCAGGAAAACATCCTCCACCAGAAATCCCAGCTTCTTCTATCACTTGGCTTTCAAATACCAATTTCTTTTATGGCTTCTAGCATGAAGTGTAGCAACTGTCTTGCCAGCGTAGAGGTAAGACATCTGCATTTCCAAGTTTAGTTTCATGTTAGTTATTTCACAGAAGGTCTCAACATTGAGGCATAAATAAAGGTATCAGGCTGACTTATTTACACCACCAGTAGAGAAATATGCCTTACAACTCCATCATTTCAAGTGGTATACAACTTGCTATCCCAATCAGTTAAAACAAGGAACAGCTGCAAGCTCGAGCCCCCTCAGTTGATGGTTCAAAGTTTCATACACAACCCAGCTCCAAGATATATCTAAGTCTTGAAGAGAACACACTCCAGTTGCAGATTCAAGTAGGAAAACCATAAACACCTTCCAGATCACAATCCCACACAAGCCAGTGACAGTATTTATCTCCAAAGACATAAAGACATTTCCTTTAAGACATTTTTTTTTTCCTCTGTATGAGACTTACACAAACATACGTATTACACATTTTTAGCATAATTTACACAATGCATAGTGAATTATATTGAAATATTAGGAGTAGAATCTCATATTAAAAAGATTTAAACATACTTATGTCTCCTTAAATACAGCACAAGCAACAGAAAAACACATCAGTGGAACAGTACTCCTCCAAATTAAAGCAGAAAATAATTACTGGGAATATGAACACGGAATATGTGTTCAAAGTGTTTCCTTGGATGATTGCAAAAAAAAATCCAAAGCCTTAGTATAACCTACCAATGGCTACTGCTCCACACGAGGATTGCTGGACTGACTTTGAGCTGTAACTATTCCCACCAATACTATATAGCATTATATGTTAGTTCCTACCTCCACATTTTGGCTTCCACTGAAAGGGTCAGATTTCTAAAGTTTAATAAACAGCTCTAACCAATAACACCTAAATCTTGCCAAACCCAGAGAATTGACTCAAATACTTTAAAAGGAGTTTGTGCACAAGCATTTTAGTTGCTGATAAACAATCTGCAAATGGGGTTACTCCTACTGTCTGGCAGAGGGGTGGTGCAACATGAATTCTAATGGGCAATAGATAATAGATTCTAATGATAATAGACAATAAATTCTAAATTTTCAGCTGTATAACAGGTTGCCTCAAAAAAGGATTGAGCAGAAACATGAAAAGAGTTTGTCTACGCAACAGTAATTTTGATCATTCAGAAGACCTTTTAAAGCCCTAGTCATCACACCATATTCAGGAAGTAACTTCCTTTCATAACTCTCCAACAATATCAGAGTAGTACAAAGCCAGGAAACAACTTACTGCAGGATCAGGTATACAACAGGAAAAAGGAACGCCACACTTCTCACGACTTTTGCTTTCACTGCTGCAGTTAAAGTATATGTTAAAATCCCAGTCATCTGGACCTTGGGCACCACAGCAATGGTTCTGCAACAGAAACAAACACTTAGCACTTGGGGGTATTTTAGAGACAATTGAATAAAACATTTGTTCATCATCTTTCCTTTCTCTAAGGCTGTGCAGAATCAACAGCACAATCACAGTAAACAAACAAACAAACAAACAAAGAGTAGTCAATACTGTGGATCTATGAAATCAAAGCAATACATTTGGCACACTGCTCCTGGAAATACCTGTCAGCAGGACCGCAGGACAAGCAAAATCATTAAAATGACCACTTTAGGTGTAATTGATAGATGTATTCAATGTACATCCATAAACTGTTCGACAAAACAGTTCATGCAAGTGTTTTGTACCCCATTATTTCCAAGTCAACAAAAATCATAAAAACTATAAGAAGGTTTCTTCAAATTTGTGACTCCATCCTTAAATCTTCATGAATCAATAGGTTTTCTTCTTCACTGTAAAAAGTGAATCCAAACATTTGTGAATATACTTCTTTTCTTTCAAATGAGAAGGTTTTCATATCCAAATGAATTAACTGGTGAAGTCTCACTATATCAAAGGTGAGTCAACTCTAGAAGTATTTCATTTAAGTCTCTTGACCCAAACAATGTAGCGTAATTACCACAATTGTAGGTTAGGGAAATCCCAACATTTCAAGGAACATTCAAATTCCTGGAACTAATGAAAGCTAGTTTCTTATTAAGTTATGCTTTGCAGTTTACTGGCCTGGATATTTAAGGCAGCAAATCTTCCCCTATAATTTGAGTACTGAAATGTCACACTATCACACAAATTTTACTAGTACTTCATGAAGTTCCATCCTCTTAGGATATCTCTATCATCTCTCCTCCACCCACTTCCCGTATTAACCTAACGGTCTGTGAGACCACTAAAACTTTAAGTCAGTAACTGGATTCAGAAGTTAAGTTGTGACAGACATGGATACGAACAGAGAGCAGAATTGTTTATACAGTTTTCACAGGAAACATGACTAAAGAGCTGAACAGAACGGTCAGACTAGAAACAAAGAAAAAAAATAATAATTTAAGTCACTTAGACATTTCCTGTGAAGAAATTAAAACAGGTTCTTTTTTGTCTTTCTAGGCCCTCCTCCCTCACATTTAGACCTTTGTAAAAAGCCACACAACCACTAACCACGCTAATCTACCTCAGTAAGGTACAGACCAAGAGGTCACTTACAGGCCTAAAGGTTATAGGATTAGCCAGAGCAAGGAGTTACCTACAAAAAGCTCTCTGGGTCCCAAGGCACACACTGAGGACAGAACAAGTCAGCCTAATAAGGAGTGTGGCTCCTTAGAAGATGGGCATCAGTGAGGCATTTGAACACACTGCTGCACCTTGCTGCTCAACCCTTGCTAATTAGCATTGTATAGTTCCCCTCCTTCCTCAGGACTTTCAGGTATGGATCAGCGACAGGCAGGCTGATTCAGAGATTTTTCTGGTCTTTCCTTTTTCAGGTTCCTTAGCTTGTTAATCTGGCCAGTGAACTCCTTTTAGTAAGCTCAGCCTTTTATTTTCATTGGAAAGTATTTAACTGGAGTTCAACTGTAAATCAGCTTAGCGTATTAGCCTGGCTGACTGCACTGAAACTAGATAAACAGAAAAAGCAACAATAGAGTGGACAACACTGAGACAATTACTCGTGTTGATCATGGCCAGGAGCTCTACCTTACAAAAAGGTGCCTTTAGCACCAAAAGCTAAAGCAAAACAGCACTGAAATCCACCCAGACAACTTAGAGGATGCTTCCATAACAGCAGACATAAGAGTGAATGAACAGGATAGGTAAGCTACTGGTAATACGCAGCTGACCAAAGTGGTATCCACTCTAAGATGTGCTTTGCTGTCAAACTGAGCTGTGAGTGCAGATTTCTAAATACGATCTTCTAAAAGATGGAAGACAGAGAAAACCAACCTTATTTCCTAAGGGAAATACATTTTTATATATATATATACACGTATATATATATATATACACACACACAGATATAAAGGAGACAACCATTTTACCTCTTCATGACTTATGAACCTATGTACTCTGTTTCTCTCCACATATATTTTTGAACCACTGTCCTGGTGGAAGAAGAATCATTCTCACTGGTTGTTTCCTGGGCGTGATCACAAAAGCAGCTGATTGAAAGCCACCAGGCCCTTACTAGCACAAGCTTTGTCCTCTCCTTGTGTACATCACTGTCTTCTGGTGACTGAAGATTTTAGGACCACAGGAGCATAAAATTTCAACCTTCCTTGATAACTACCTGACTAGAGGCTAGTCTTTCCCTCTTACCTCTCAAGGTAAGAGGCCCTGTGCTGCATCCCTGTACAGTGCCTCCTAAAATAAGAGTGCAGACTACTGGTGCCGTTGCACAATTTTTTCAGGATAGAGACTTTTTTTGTTGCTCACTTCTCACTTAAACTGGACCAAGACTGACCAGGACAGGGGAACAAGTCAAGAAGGTCAGAAGACAGATGGATGCTTGGCAGAGCTTCTGCGTTTGCGGTTAAAACAGCACTGCATCTCAGAATATCTTGCCTCTCTGATGCTTTCAATGCAGAAAGATCAAAACAGCCCATCTGTAACATGGCACTATTGGCTACAGAGCATGATAAATCTGTAACAAAAAGGAAAACTTCCAAATCTACTATTCTCCTAGAACAGATACAAGAAGTGACAGGATATGAACTTACGATTTTCTGTAGCGAATCAATGAGGTTCTGGAGGTCAATATCATCTCGGTAGGACTTAATGTTATTCTCAAAGAATTCCTTGACCCTGTCCCTCACCCAGTCCTGGAACAGGAAAGCCAGAACTGCCGCTGCCAGCTCCAGCAGGAATATAAACATAATTGCTCCACAGAACTGTAAAAAAAGTCACGAATTAGAATATATCCATTCATTTTGAATGCACCCCTACTCCAAGTCCACCAGAAACAGACACAGAGAAATAGGTTAAAATCCTCAATCAGTACAGATAGCATGAGAGCACAGCCTGTTAAATAAGAATGTATAAATAATAATGTAAAAAAAACACCCAAGAGGTTGGGTTATCTTTTTGATTTGGTCACCTGAAATCAACAGTAAAATAAGCACCATACTACAGTGATTATGCACAGCAGTGAAAATACCTATAAACAAGAACCTGCAGAACTAGACTAAAGCAGTCATGATGCTACTTCTTGGATTGTTTCCAGTTTTATAATGTTTTGTCCAGCTTAACTGTTTTCAGATCTAAAGCAAAAAAGCAGCCACAGTACAAAAACAACCATTTTAGAGATTTCACATCAGTTACCAAAGTCCAAGTTTTGCCCATCAGACATTTAGAAGAAATGTTTTAGTTTTTAAGGGATTTTGTTCTCTTAAGTCACTATATCATCTCCTGTAGTAATTCCTGACTAAATACATTCCAGAACATACACAGCATTAGATTCCGGTATATATACTATAACAACATCACTGTAGAGCAGAATGGATGAAGGAGGAAAGAAACATTTATCCAGAAAGAGGAAAATATACATAGAAACTACACTGCTTTTAATGTCATTACCCAGTGCCTTGTCATAAGTTTACCATATACATTGTAACAAAACAAATTCTATAATTTACCCATCACTCCCAGCTTTCACACACACAATCACCCACTTGTATCATTACATTACTTACAAACTTCAGCAGGCAGATGTTTTCTCTCAGTGCTCCTACACAACCAGCAAATCCCAAAGTAAACATCACTATTCCCACCACTAAGACAAGCACCACTGGGTCCAGACCATGAAGACCAGTGACCTTTGTCAGATCAGACAATACACCCTGAAAAAGAAAAAACAGGAAAACAGGTGACCACTATAAGCATATTTTTAATTTAACTTTGCTCCTGGATGTCCATGATTTCCACATGATTCCAAATGAACTGGTTGCAAACCCTGGAGCTCACCAACAGCAAGCTACATGGAAAAGTCCTGTAAAATTATTATTGACAGTCCCTATTCTCTTCATCCTAGCTGAGGAAGTATTAATGCAAAGTTACAGCTATTAATTTTTCTAAGAAGTAAATCCAGTGCAGTCTCCTAGGTTTATTTGCAAAACAAGCTTCCACAAGATGGTGCCAAAAGCTTAACACTAACACTGAATCTTTATTTAGTTTCAAGGCAAAAGAATTAATGCTTTTTATTAATTTGAAATGCACTAGTAAGAAGGGCACCCCAATTTTAAAGTCGTTAAAAAAATATATATATTTTTTTCCAATCCTAATGTTTAGATGGCAGAAAGGGAGAGACATTCTAACTACAAAGTAGGTTACAGGTGACATTTTAAGGGAGGGGAACAAAATCTTGTTTTCCTTTTCAATGGAAACAGATTTTTCCTCAACATTTTAGTTATACCCCTTCTAGTCCTGAATAGACTTAGGAATGCTCTTCCAAAAATCTTGCAAAAATACAGAAGTATACTCTAAATATTTCCCTTTCACCACAAAGTTATTACACTAAAAGAAGTTATCTATTCCCTAAAAGATACTTGCAATTTACCTAATTTAGCAGCAGTATTTTTTTAACTATCCAGAGACACCACTTATCTTGATAATAATCATACCTATTAAGCCTGTCTGCCCAGATCTTAGGACAGAGTTTCTAAGTCTATGTAAATGTTATGATAGCACAGTGATGCCCTTTATCATTTCTAGATTAGGTTTTAAAGAAACTAAGTTTATATAGCAGCTGCCATTAAAATTCCATCAAATACACATAATACAAGGTTCTCATGTAACGTGCAAGAATAAGATGCAATATGCAGAAGACAGAGGGGAAAAACTGCTGAAACTCTTAAAATTAATGAGAACAATTTGTAGGGACACCCACACAGCCTTGCAATAGTCTGAGTGTTCATCATACACTCAGCACCAATACACAGACATTTTAATAAGGAAATACTTTCCCTTTAAAACAGGGAAATAACAAAAAGCAACCCAGTGCAATATCACATAATTACACGTTTACTGTCTTTCGTTTTTTTTTTTTCCTTTATAAAGTATATTCTCATGCCAACTAAGTTTAGCATAAGAGAAAGATACCATAGAGACTTATAAAGCAATTCATGTAAGCAGTCTAATTCTGTCAAGGGAATGTAAATGTTCATCTTGCTACTCAGGTATTTGTACTGGAGTTAAGTGCAAAGAATATACATCCTAAGAGAATACCCCGGAAAAATCCATATCACTTTGTATTTAAGTGCTTACTTAACAAAAACGTCTTCAAAATACAGCATTAGAAGAAAGCATGCACATGGAGAAACTTCATCAGCTGTTGAAAAGACACTGATTAACAGTATTATAGTGATACACACCAAATCTCGTTAGAGCTGTTAATTTGGCAACAGCAAGACAGAGTTGTTTTTACCAAAACTGGTTGAAGGGATGAAAAGAAGAAAAAAAAAATATAAATGAACTGTAGAAATCAGAATTGCCTTGCAATAATTGGTGACTAACAGCTGAAACAGCCTATTAAAAAGTGGTCTTGGGAAGCAATGACTTTTCTAGTTAGTACCACCAGTGATACATTTCCATTCTTACAAACTGTAAGATCTCACAGCCAGCTGTCAAACTTGGTCTACTGGGTTAATTATGGTAATTCCACCTCATCAAACCCTGGCTTAGTCCTCACAGTCACGGATGACATGCCAAGATTAGCTAGGCTAACTCAGTGTCTTTGTAGAACCAATACACTACAAAACCAAGCACTGTGCAACCAGGATGTTGAAACTTTCACAACTATTTCCAGCTATCTCCTTCCCACACCCAAACTCAAGCTTTCTTTTTTGTCTTTGTCTTTTTTTCAAAAAAGACAATCTCACTTGCCCAAGCAATATCTTTTGGAAGAAAACTTCCTCTGATCAAAGTGTGTTATGAAGAAGAGTTGGCAGGAACTGGGCTCAGATGTTGCTGGTGCACAACAGTTTCTTCATGTTCATACAGTAGAACTTGGGTGACAGATATTAACATCTATCCAGTTTTTATTGTATAGGCTTTTAAAATTTTATGCAATTCTACTTTTACATGACTGTTCAGAATAGCAAAACCCAGTGATAAGATAATAAGGATAGGCCAATTAGATATGCTAGTTACAGAAACTGGATTTGACTAAAAGATGGGTAACATTTTTACCAGTGTTCTCACTTTGATATATTATCAGCTAAAAGACACAGACTATTTATAGCCAGAAAAAAAAAAAAAAAAAAAGACTGCTGAAGAATCAATCTGAAGTGTAGTCCTAGCGGAAAAAGACAGACAAGAAAAAAACCAGAAGTTAAAGGGACCCAATGTCATGCTGCACTGAAAGACAGGATGTTCAAAACTCTTCCACCACCTGCAGTTTATCTTTGGGTTTATCACTGCAGCTCAGCTTCTGGAATGTTTTTCCTCTTACTTCCCATCTATTGTTCACCAAGATGTTTATCTGTAAATAGACAGATCCATACAGGCACTATGGCTGAAGAATGGCACTGGTATTAAAGGCTTCGAACACAGCACCGAACAACAGTCATGAAAAATAACGTGCAGATTTCACAAGCCATTCAGAAGTTCAAAACCACAGGAAAAGCTTTGAAGTACTTATTTGCAAGACAAGACAGAGAGCAGAAATAGTTCAGGCAAAATTTAAGAAATCAAGACACAAAGAGTCTGGTTTTGCCATTTAGTAAATTCAGTGTACCATAAAGTCCATTTGGCAAATGGTGGTTATCAGCTAATTATTTCCAACCACACAGATCTTACGTGCTTCTTTACAGAACAGAAGATAATGTCTGAACATGACAGAATACAAATTCAAGACAAGTTTAACACCCTCCCGAAAGGGCTGGAAAGAAAATCCTTTTGTAACAACAGAACAGGAGGTAAATGTGCGTGGAGGTGGCTTACTACATATCAATGATATCACTAATCTAGTTATGAGGATGTGTGCACGCACGTAGGGAGTGGGGAGGAGGAGAACACCACAGCATTTAGATTATCATAAAACTCTTTCACTTCCAAGGAGTGGAGGAATCCCAGAACCCCTCTGTACGTGGGCAGCTGCTGTGTACAAGCGCTCCGCTTACAGAAATGTTACACTATGACGGTAAAAACAGCGAGGGCACCTGTCCTCCACTTTTAATTAAGATGCAGATCAGTGAATCTGCTAGTCATTGTCACTTTTTCCTACTACTTGCAGTAATACTGAAGCCACACTTTTGCATTCATAACAAGAGGGTGAACCATTCATTTCCATACCCATACCATCTCTTCTCTTACAAGAGGTGAACGCTGTAGGTCCACACCTGCACGGACTTCCTCTGATTGGGGAAGTTACTCAGCTGAAAGAAACCTTTGCCAAAAAACAGCTAGATCCTGTTCCCCGATTTTGCTCCTCTACGTGGAGACATAGTCACTTAAGCTACTCCACGGGGAGCAAAGTGGAAGGAAACAGATGGCATGGAGACTGGAATCCTTCAGAAAGATGATCCCAAAAATGCATGGGGTCTACGTTTTTTTGAATATAAAACGATATCTTTTACATTCCTCCCAAACACTTCTTGTTTTTAATAAAAAACAGTGGGCAGATAAGAGTATTTTAGAAAACGTGCTTTCAAAAGAGAACGAGTTCATAAAGATTAAATTCTCCCTAGCAACCTGCTATCAAGAAGTTTACTAAAAGGTCTAAACATAAACGGCCACAGCTTAACACCTGATCAGGGACAAGAATGAAACTCCAACTAAACTCAGCTTAGACCATTTGAACATGGTCCTGAGCTCAGATGCTACATTTAAACCGTTGCTGCTTCCTGAGGAAGTAGTTTTACAGGAGAAGGCAGCCACCAAACCAAGTAAGATCAGACATCTCTACCCTTACCTTTTCACTCCATGCCCACAGACCAGCCGCAAGGAAGGCCACCCCAGCTAGCTAAAACAAAAAGAAAAAAAACATATTAGATATACTAATCGACAAATTCTCAAACACTTAGCCAGTAGCACTGTTGCTCAAGTAAAACAAACATTGTCTGTGATCTCAGACAATAGTCATGGGACATTCTTCCCCATGAGTCAGTCTATGGCAAAAAGGATTTACAGCACTTTTATTCCATAGCATTCTGGAGAAAAGGAAGCTGTGGGGAGACCTTATCACACTCTGCGGCTACCTGAAAGGAGGTTGCAGCCAGGTGGAGGGGTCAGTCTCTTCTCCCAAGAAACAGGAGATAAGACAAGAGGAAATGGCCTCAAGTTGCATCAGGGGAGGTTTAGATTAGGTATTAGGGTGAAGGTGAAGACATCAGGTATAATTTGCAGTAATGAGGGTAAATTACACATTAGTCACAGCTGGATCTTTGGGGAATTTTTCTTAAGAAATGGGGGAGAAGGGGGAAGAATAGGGAAGACACACATCTTCCACACTCTATAGACAAACTATTGTTAATGGAACACTAACACTGTCCTATTGGGTGTTAAATAGGGTCTTGTCTTCAGACTGGCTGCCTTTTATTATAATTACTATCTTAAATTATAACAGATTCTTGATTAAGTAGATTTTTCACTAGTATGCTTCATATTCACCTCTGAACACAAACATTGCTCTCATGTTTTTATAAAGTGTTCAGTTTCACAAACCTACACTGTTCTTGCAAAGTTATTTCCATGAGCACCTGTGAGCAAACTATCTACAAGTAAACCAGTTTATCAGCAGAAAAATAAACTTAGTCTTATAGAATCAACGTGGATAAATCTAAAACTTAATTCAGCTAAGACACAAGTGATTCATAACTCTCACTAGAAGCAGCCAAACCACACACACTAGGTTTCTTCAGCAAAAAACAGTAAAGTATGATGTATTTGAAGAAACAAAGCGATGAGCCACTGCATCTACAGGCACAATTACCAAGATGTCCTATTTGCAAGGAAGCACAATGATAGTATTTAAAACAAGGAAATCTCATTCGTTAAATAACTATGTGCAAGATACTTCAAAGTGCCTCACTGAAAACTATTGTAAAACACACCATGGTGAAAAACCACCTCAAAAGCTAGGCTGACTGAGCATACCCAATACAGAGTTCTAAAGGGAATTAGCACCAGGAAAATACCCTCTACCACTCTTGCACAGAGGCATTCAAGCGACTGCTGTAAGGCAGCCCAGGGAACTGATGCAGTCTGAATTGAGAGAAAAGGTTTAACCTTTATCAGCTCACTGAACTAAAGGGCCACGTGAATGGGAGAGCAGGCAGCTGAGAAATAGTGATGCTAACCAAAAGTATTCCCAAAGGGAGAGTGAGCCAGCCAGCTTTTTCAAAAAAAGAGGCATTTTGAAATTTGCCTTTCACTAGAATCTGGATGATGTGTAAGCAAGAACAACTGGATTACCCATCTCTCTTCTATGCCAGAGAGCCATTTCAGCCATACACTGCATGAAAGGTTAGATGGAAACATACACAAAGCAGCTCAATTCCACCCCTTTGAACAGGAAACTAAAACTAGTAACCAGTATTTGGTCGTTTCCTGCTTTAGAACTGAAAAATCCACATTATTACCATATTGCATCAAGCTGTAAGTTCTGCTCAGGAGACATAACGCTACTGACGTCAACCCGCAGACACCATGCAAAGACCACTTACAGCATTATCTGTTCCCAACCACACTTTGAGTTTCTTTCACTCCGCTATTAGAATCACCCTACTAGATGAGAAAACACATCTAATTTGTTACTCAAATCTAGGTTGCAGCTAAACATAGTTCTTGCAGGACAACCCTTGCACAGAAACTGATTTTGAGTCAGCCTGCCTGAAGGTCTGATTACAAGCAATGGGAACGCATTCCTTTTGTAAGCACAAAATGTTACTCTTACAGAGAACACTTTTCACACCCCCTGGACAATCCTATTTTACACTGTAGCTCCACCCATGCTGCAGTAATCAGCAGCCTACAGCCCTTCCTTCCTACCCTTGTCTCTTCCCAGACTTTTCCTCTCAGGGTCAGGAAACCACCTGGTGGTGGATTCTCTCCCCTTCCTGGCACAGCCTTGCTGTTTCAGATGTTCCTAAAAAACAGCATACATTGCAAAAGCCACAATGAGCCAAGAAAATCTTATGCTTGCCTGGGTCTTCTCTTACTTTTCAAAAATGAGCTCAGAATTCTTTTCCACAGCTTAAGAGAATTTTCGCCCTTCATCATCATGTTCAGGGGCAAAAATGCCACATCCCCTATAGCATGCGTGAAAAGTGAGGTTTTTGTCTCTCCAAAAACCCGTGAGAGCCACAGACAAAGCTACAGAGCATTAAAATGGAAATCAAGATGACAGCAACTAAAAGCTGTTTTACCCTCCCTCCTCTCAATTCATCTGAGAGACAGCAAGCTCACATGCAACCTGAAAGGCTTTGGCAGAGCACATGCAATCCTTCATTTCACTGAAATTGCTATGCCCTGGCTGAGGTGCAGTTCTTGGACTACCCCAAAAAATCCTTCAACCAGAGACAAAGAGGCAGTCGAGGCACCTCCTTTTATTCCCTGGGCCTCCCCAAGTGCAGGCTGGAAGGCATGGGGCAGTGCTGCACCCCTAGACAGGGCACCCTGCACTCCCCCTGGGGCCAGTCGTCCACCTCCTGCCTCCTTCCTCCACTGGGGCTTTCAGAGGACCCACTCCATTGAAAAACAACTCAGAACAGAAAGGTGCTCTTCACCCCATCCTACAGCAGTCTTTTAATTTCATTATGACAAATGAAACTCTTTGGAAAAAAAAAAAAAAAGAAAAAAAAGCAAGCTTTAAAACTCAAAAGGAGGTCCAGTCTTGCTGTAATAGGGTAATTTCACTTAAACTTCTGAGCACTCCCTGCAGGGCTATCTTAATGGTTGCAATACTGCCTCATCACTACTCATTAAAACAAGCATACTTTGAGAAGTTAAATCTTATTAGTAGGCTTAAAAAGCAAGATGAAAATAAAGTAATCCCACATTAAAATGCCTTGAAAGACAGAGCCTTCCCATGACCTCCATTCCCTTTCTTAAAAGGGAAACCCAAGTACAAAGAATAGAGAAATGATTTTGCTAGCCAGTCCTATACAACCATCTTAAAGTCAGCAGAACTGAACCTTCCATTGCCAAGTTGTCCCCAATGGAATCTTGGAAAAAGACAAACCACCTTCCAAAGAATGAAGATTTACAGATTTTTAAGGGCTGATTAAACCATGAGCTTGCCATTATTAAATTATTCATAAATTTCCTCCAAGTTCAATATTTTGTTCTATACCAATCTATGCGAACCGTACTGGAAAC